CGGGCCCGGTCAGTGCGGCGGGACGGCTCCCGGCCTCGGGCCCGGTCAGGGCAGCGGGCGGCGGCAAGGCAGTGCGGCAGCGGAGGCAGAAATGCTGCCGGATAAATAGGAAGTGCCGAGAGCTGCGACCTTAAATAGTGGCGGGATCGCTCGTGTCCGTGAGGGGTGTGAGGGTGTACCTGTGTACGTGGGGGGAGCCGGGCCGGGTACGTGCTTTAACGAGCTAGAGTATTTTAAAATGCGTCCCGCAGTTTCACACTTGGCCGCTTCCCCTGCGTTTTGCGTGGGGAAGGGCAAGGGCACTTACGTTACCGGTGCTCTGCAGGACGGCTGGGCGAGGCGGCCGCTCCACCGGTGAGCCCTTGGCTGTGGCAGGTGTCCCGGCGTTGCCGGGTGCGTGTCGGGGCCGTTGGAAGGGTGGTGGGCGCGCTGCAGCGGGGGCTGCACGGGACTGTCACCCCCGGAACAGCCTCCAGCACTAGCAGTTTTTTGCTGTTTGATCAGTTGACACTTTCTACCTCTAAGCGATTCACACCACGTTATGAGTTACAAAAATTGTCTTTAATTGCAGGAAGAAGATTCAGAACGCCTTAGTGCAGCATTCACTTCACTCATGAACTTGATGAATCAAGCCACAAAGGAATGCGAGGTGAGGTTTTAATCCCAGGTCTGTACAAAGGAGACTGTGTATGATGTGCCAGGCAGAGGCCCATTTGCACTACTTTTGCTAAAATTGCAGAAATTAGACTTCAGTTTTGCTCATTGCACAGCAAGAGCTTAGCCAGCAAGGCTGTGATGCCAGCCTCGATTAAGAAATTTGGGGCATTTGCCATCATGTGGTAGATTACATGGTAGGTTTTACCAGTGTTACCCTGAGCAACTGGTACCACCTGAGTTGATAAGCACCACTATCAGCATTTCCCATAGACAGTATCAGTACAAATTTTAGCAGAGGGTTCCTTCACTTCTTGGTGGAAAGACAATATGGTTAGAGAGACAGAAATGTCAGATGACATCACAAATTACATTGTGTCAACCGCTGTAGGCAGGCTTGTCAGGTGTCACAATGTACAGAGTTGTTTCCAGTGCTGGTGGGTACCTCTGCACCTCTGCTATGGAGTGGCTTTACAACAGAGTAACCCTTGGTTTTCATCATGCCAACATGAGCTGTTCATGCTGGCTGATGGATTCAGTGTGTTCTGGGTGTCAGAAGTAAGGGAGAATCTGAATCTTGAGCAAAGAGACTGCTTTGTGTCACATTTGCTCTGAACTTAGAGAGTTAACCTCCCCAGTATTGTTGAAGCAAACTGGATTTGGGAAGTTGCTACTGGCTAAGGAGCTTGTGCTCAGTTCCGAGCAGCACCACATCTTTGTGATAAGTAGAAATGGAGAAGTACGGCACACATACACAGCTCCACTGCTTTCATGTTGGCTCTGGCTGCTGGCTGTTGTTACTCTGCAGGGTATGATCATCTCTGCAGCTCATCCTTGTGAATGCAGCCATGCAGCCCAACTACTGCGTTATAGTCTCTGAAAACTCCCATCACAGTTTACATCATCTGCCCTTCAGGATCTGTTATCATAATGCAGCAGGGAGCTCTTGTCTGCAGAGTTAATAACAGAGGCTAAGTTTTCAGTTAAATTAGAGAAAACATTAGTTCAACACACACCAGCTAATTACTCTTAAGTGATTTCTTTTTCATTTCAAAGCACTACAGACACAGTTAATCCTACAACTCTGGTGGAATATTTTTACACAAGATGAAACAAAAATGTAACTGTGTATAGAGACTCATCCTCTGTCCTGTTAGTATTAGAGCTTGAACAAGCAGTGGGTGACTTCCACAGTTATGCATCAGCCAAGACAATACTGTTTCAGTCATCCTCTGTAGAGAAAAGTCATAAAAGGTGAGGGAGGGGGGAATTTTCAGACCTACAAGTTCATGGGTAAAGTTTACAAAGTGCAAATAAAAATCCACAGCCAACATAACCATTTAGGCAAACGATTAAAATTGTGATTTAAGATGAGTTGTTTAGAGTTACTAAGGGACTAAAGTTTATCCACATTTCTTACCAAAAGTTTGATGGCATTTATTTGCTCAGTGACATCACGTAAAAGGATCCAGCTCACCTTCTTTGATAGAGATGCTCTGTGGAGCATTATGCAATAGGTCAGAGTATTTAATGTATTTTGGGACATAGCTCCACAATAAACCACAATACAAGCAACCAGATCTGTTGCTGTGTGCGTAACCTCAAGGAATAAAGCACAGCAGTAGATTTGGAAATAAGAATTGCTATTGGCCTTACTTTTGTTAAGTTTAGTCTTGACAATTGGAGACAAGGATAATAGAAGTGAAATGAAATAGGTATTTTGGAACTTTCTGGTCCCCATGATCAAAAAGGTAACTCTGGGAGGAGTTCTCTGGTGACAACAGATGGCAGCAGAGCTGTACTCAAATACTTAATCTGCAGTGGAGAAGATTCAAGTACCTTTACTGTGGAGCCAGAAAAGGGCTGCTGTGGACTTAAATACAATTCTCAAAACTGCTATGCTACTGATACCAGCCTTGAAGACACTTCAGATTGTTTACCAACTCATTTTTTAGTATTAACGTGTTCTACTTTTAGAGCACCGCTCCTGCCCATGCCCTGAAGAATCAGTCTTCCCTGGCTAGGTTGCAAAGCACCTAGCTTGCATACACATCCACCAGAGCTTTTCTTGCAGAGCCTGGTTAGGCAGATGTTTCCAGAGCATTGCTCCTGATATTTTCATGAGTTCAGCCGTGAGGTGTTAGAGTCCCTATGTGTCAGGAGACAGGCATCTAAAATCAGGGCTGACAGTTTTGTACCAGAATGCAGATGTCCTGTGGACATCCAGGCATTGTTTTCATCCTTACACAAGAATAAGCCAGCCAATTAATACAGAAAGTCAGTAGCTGTGCAGTTCTACTTTTAATTGTAAATCTGCAGTAGTTGTGACCATGGCTTTGATGCTTCTCTACATAATACTCTTGTTTCTGTTGTTGTCCAGAAGTACTATAGCTTCATGGCAGCCTCTAGATGCAAAGAGCATGAAATCAAACACATCTGCAGATACCACAGCAGGCAAGGAAGGGAAAGAGAGCTGGAGTCCTCTGAAGAGGAAGTAAGTAGGTGGTTTTGGTTTTTTTTAAAGGTTATTCTGTCCCTCACCACAAGACAGTTGTTACCTATCTACTGTCTGTGACACTTGCTTACACTAATGTATGTGGCTTGACGCCTGGACTGATCCGAGTCTTCTGTTGCCAGGTGAGGGGGGAAGGCAAAGTAACTTCTGGTGGTACCAATCAGCATCATCCCAGTTCTTCTGTGGAGGGGAAAATTTCATGTACATAAAGCATCCCTTCTCTCAGGGGCTGAATTTGCCTTTGTGTTGTATCATTAGAAACCAGTATATTTTTCTTTACAGAGAACGGAAACCTCTGTAGCACCCAGACAAGCTAAAACTTGCCAGCGACATGTAAGTTTATAGAATACTTTTTTAAATTGAGATCTGGCATTTCCTTATCATTTTGCATAAAACTGGTCAAAATTTGTAATTGGGTATGGAGACTTTGTGATGGCACAGAAGATTTACCAGTAGTGCATTCACAATCCTTACGTATGTATAGGTGGGCAGTAGAATGGGCATACAGAGACTTGCACAATTAATTACAAACCAGATTGTGTCATTCTGGCACCTAACCAGTTAAGAGTCTACTTCATATTTTGGACTGGTACAGAATGTCAAACACCATGATTAATCTTTAGGCTCTTGTGAATTGCATCAGCAGCAATAATCTAGCAGTTCTCCAAGTCTCACCTCATTTGTTCTCCTGACACTCCCTGTGCTGAGGAAAGGCATGCAGCAAGGCACACAGCAGTTGCTCAGCCAGTTATGCTTGGCCCTCATACAGTCTCTCCAAAGACTTCTGTTCCTCAAGGAAAAGAAAACTTTTTTCATTTTTCAAAGCCTAACACCTCACCAAATTAATTTCAGGAACTTCTCAGTCACAAAAGATGAGAAACATGGAATGTGTACCACAGTACAAATTAGGGGGAGCACCCTTGTATGGATGTTTTCCAGGGTTATGTTCAAAACCATTTAGGTCGGTAACTTTCAGTTCTGTGAGGCAGATATTAGAACATGTTGATTATTTCCACTGATTGAAACATTAGATGTAATACTTTGATATGGCACTTACTAATTTTTGCACTGACAGAAATGTTTTAGAGTTTTGTCCATGCTGCCTGTATATTTTGAAAAATGTTAGCACATTTATATAGCTGAAATGTAACTTTTTTAATCCAAATTCAAAATTTTTATTTTTGTGGGAAATATAAGATGACTAAATAGTAATGAAACTTGGGTTTTTTTCCCCTAAAGACCAGACAAGCTTCTGAAGACATTTACATTGAAGTTTCTCCTGGCACCTATTCTGTCACAGCAACCTCAGAGGACATGGTGCAACAAACCCATGTGGTAGATGTCAATGCAGGACAAAGTGTTAATTTAACTTTTGTTCTATGACGTTTGTGGTTTCTTGGCAATCACAGGAATAAAATACGAGGCTGTTTTAATGCATGTAATGAGCTATGTATATCTTTTTATTGTTAGCACTTTAATAGTATCCTCCTCTTTGGGACTCCATTTTTATGGCCTGTACATTTGTTTTCTACTTAATGCAATTATATGCAGCCCATTTTATACACTGATTTTATAAATATTTGTACATTGTATGCCTTAGATCTGATTATGTGACTGTGTAATTCCAGGTTTTTATGCTTTTAACAATTAGATACAATCAGTGGAATAAAATACAATTTAGTCTTTGTGATGACAGCTTCTTTTATATTATTCTCAGACAGAATGTCCATGTCACATTCTTGACCATAGAGAGCATGATCCATGTGTAAATATGGATGTACATGAGCTTCTGGGGGCTGGCACTGATTTTAGAGCAGCTGACTCACAAAACATCTCTGCTATCTGTACTTTTATTATTCTGACAAAGAAATAAAATGCCAATGAAATTTACTGTCTAGGACCCCAACTCAGGAAGGCGCTTGAATGTGTGTCACACTTTCAGTATAGGCTCATAAAGCATTGCCCCTTCAAGTCCTGTCTCTGCAGGCTCTTACCTGGGCTAAACACCAGCCAGCTGCCTTTTTCAGGAGGCAGTCAGGTACTCTGAATTACCTCTTATTTCCTGCAGGGGAAAAGTATCACTGAGCAACTTCATGCTGCAGTTTATGGCCAAGCTCATACACTTTAAACATGAGCAGTTCCACTAATGAGACCCCCTGGATACTTAACTCTCCTGAAGGATCAGGTTCCACAGTTCAAATTAATGACATGGCATATATATATATATATATATATATATATATAATCTTTTTGTAGCTGATGGTATTAGTGTTTCAGTTAATTTTCATGGGAATATAAAATTCAGCAACTTGAATGCTTGATCTCTAAGCATTTTGTTGTTTGTGTGTACAGTAGCAGGTCCTTTACCCTCTCCTTACTTTCTCTTACACTTTAATCCTGGAAAAAAAATACTTTCAGCTGCCAACTTGTATTGTTTCTCCATTCCTTCTGGCTTTCTACAAAAACCGCTATGCTGAATTCCTCTGGCTGACTCAAGAGAACTGTAGACAAATTGGAGGTTTATTAGACCCTTGCTGTGCATCTGTTCAGGCTTTTAGTCCTCGTACTAGTTTACCTGATCTCTCCAGAATTGTAAAGTCAAGTTCAAATAATTAGGAATTTAATACAACACCTTGGAGTAGAGAATAAGTATGCTGAAATTTGATGTGCATGGAAATAAGAGTTTCTCAGTTATTAAAATTATACAGTTATCCATAAAGGTATTCTAAAGAGACAGTACCTAAATCAGAACTTGATTTGCTTAATAAATGTAACACTGATGTAGTATAAGCAGTTTACATGAAATTTCAGCTCCTGAACTTCATCAGTTGTACATTTATTGAATTCTGTTTGATAATGTGTCTCTGGTTTGTTGCAAATGAGCTCTTTGCTGTTTTTTCTGTCCTATTCTGACATGGTCTATATCATCAAGTTCATCATCTTCTATACAAATTGCTTTATGTTTATCATTTGACTCTGTTTTATTTCTTTCTGTTTTATATCTTTTTCTGATGCTGTAAAACCTTCCTGGAGGACAGAAAACAAATCCCTTGGAAGTCTACTCTGAAAGAAAGTATCAGTGTCCTTGTAACTGCTGCTTTCCTGGCTGTAAACTAGGCACCTCTGCCTCACTCAGCTTTAATAATGGTCACTGTTTCTGTGCTAGTACAAGCTTTACTGTTGAAACACAAAAGCATCCAATAAGACTGAACGCTTTTCAGAAACTGTTAGGCTTTGACCCAAACTTTTGCTTCTTTAGAAGTTAGGGGGATTTTTGGTGAATATAGTGGGAGGACATTAGCCCCACAGAGAGCACCTCCAAGAAGCCTGGTCTCTACCTTCACTTCTTTGTGGCAAGTTACTTCTGATGAAGTCTGTATTACATAACTGCTTCAGCTATCTCAAGAAGTAGCAATGTACCTTCTAGGTTTAAAAACAACAAGGGCTGTTTCACAGGAATAAAAGCATGTCATAATCTGTATTACCACATTGCATCCACTACTGTGATCCATGCTGCCAGTTTGAGGCTAGAATGAAACCACTCTGGTTTCTTTTTAGTTTTATCAAAAGGCAAAGCATGTCACTTCAGTGCACAGCTGTGACACTGCTAACACAGCATGTCTGCATGAAGCTCCATACTGGTCTTTTCCATTTCACCAAGTAGCTTCAGCCCTTCTTTAGGGTTTTGGAATTTATGTTTTGTTTTGGTGAAGGTTCCTGCCTGTCACAAAACTGGTGGATGGCCTTAGCAAACAGTTAGAAACAATGTATTTTTCTAGCCAGCTTCTAGACCATTAACAAGAATCTTTCTTCCATTCAAACAACCTGTATGTTTACATAAATACAGTGTTAATACAGATTACCTTACCTCCAACAATGGCTTGAAATCTTGGTCTATGAAGATTTCTTTCATTGTGAGTTGCCCTCTGGGAGACTGCTCGATGGTTTCAGACAGTGCACTCCAATTACTCGGGGCAACACAGGACACATCCCCAACAGAGATGACTTCGGATTCCGGCTTATCCTTTGTACATGTGCTGCTGCAATTGCCAAGTCCTGGGAAGAAGTAACATTGTGTGTAAGAGTGAAACCAGAACTAAAATGGAGAAACATTCATTTCAGAAGAGAGGAAAACATACTTTTAAGCCCGAAATGAATTCTTTTGGGTTATTCTTCATGGACTAGCTACAAAGGTTAATGAAGATCTTACCATCATAAAAAGTGTAGGAAAATGATGGGGAACAAAGAGAGGGATATCTATGCTTCCAAATAAAATCAGTTGTGGTAGTTTTCCATTGGATGAGTTGCCAAAAGAAGAGCTAGCACGCAAAATGAGGCAGGAGAAACGTTGGAGAGGGGGAAACACTGTACCAGAGACTGATATGCAAATTCATAGTATCTATACCAATACACTACACGCAAAGCGGCTGCCCAGATGAAGGGGACCCAGAACACATTTAGGTTTTTTCCATCTGGCTGCTGCTTCCCTGCGTGGGTGTTAAAAGGTACCTGGATCAGAGGGATGGGACTTGTGGTGGCTTCTTTTCCAATATTTCCACTCAAGTCTTGCAGAATCCTTTAGCCTGGGCTTTTGAAGACAGCTGGAGCCTGTGTTAACAGCACTGTCCACCACAGTACTCTTTGTGGGGAATGGCTCCAGGTCACACTCTGAATCAGAAGAGGGGGAAGATGCTGCCACAGCTGCTGCTGCTTCTTGTTTGGGGCCTTTCAGTTCTAGAAGGCATGGAGAGGGCTTGCTGCTGGACTCTGCCTCTTCAGTTTCACTCTGAAAGACCAGAGACCTGGATGGAAGAGGCCACCAGGCATCAACACGGGGATGGCAGCAGCAGATGCACCTTACGTATGCTGACAAACAGCATGTACCATCACAGTGATAGTGGAAATGTGGCCAGCAGGGTGAGCAGAGCAAGTGGTGCTTTGCAAGGCTACGCACAGCACAAACAGGAATCAGGGCTGTTTTGGGACTGCAGGAAAAATTACAAGAGTTAATGTCTGGACTTTCTCTGGGCTTCACCCTACTGGTGAAAGGCATGTGGATCATCTCTACAATCCTCTCCCACAGGCTAGGAGGGATCCACAGAGCCACACCTCGTGGGAGTTTCACTGTCTTGTCATTCCAGAACTGGACTATAATTTCTTCATCTTCTGAGGCTGTTGAGAGAAAAAGTAAGCAGCCGTAAGCAGGTAGCCTGCCAGGGCAGCACACATACACAGATCAGGCTTTGCACTTTATGTACTCCTGTCAAATGTTAGAATCAAACATCACCCCTTTCTGTAACACATCATCATAACATCATGGAGGGTGGAATGGGCAGCCAGGGCACTGTCAATGTGACAACAGGCCTGGCAGAATCTTTCCTCCCGATTTGTCATCAGATGCGCAAGAAAATGACTGAGTAACATTTGTTGCTGCTGACCAAGTTAGCAGTAATGCTCCGAGAACATTTTGATGTCAGTGGAGCTTGACCGTCAGACATGGGAAAAATGACTGAGCTGTTGAAATCTCCTACATTTGGGTGATAAAATCACCCCTGGATGTACCATTTGGTACAAATGTGAGCTTTCAAGCACCAACAGGTGCTTCCTGAGAGCTGCCTCACTTGTATCCTTCATGGAGAGGCCAGTGTCCAAGCAGACAGGAAACAGCACATTCATGGACACTGAAGGTGACTTGTTTTATGGGTCACAGCTTCCGTAGGGTCAGACTGGTGAGGTTACATGCAGATATCCATCAGCAAGTCCCATCAGCTCCTGCAACCTTTAAGCAACACTAAACTGTTGTCTGTGCACCGGTGTTTCTCTGGCAGTAGCACCATGACAAGAGTTTATCCTGACAGTCTCACTCATGTTCTGGAGCAAAGCAAGGAAGGAGGTGGTATCTGTCTTACCTCGTAAGGGGTCCCTTGTCTCAATACCCATGAGGACGGTTCCCGGGCCATACCTGGCCATATCTGGCTCCCAGGGTGCCAGCACTTTGTCTCCAGGGAGTAAGGAGTGCTTCATGCCATTCACATATTCCAGGATGTTATCTTTTGCTGTTTTTTGCACACACACTGGAAGCCTTCCACATGACACAAGTGGTTTGGCAAACTCTACCAGGAACATGCCTCTCTCACTCTGTTACCAGGAACAAAATAATAGTTCCTCTGAAAAACAGTCCATAATGCAACCTTCACCAGAAGACCATTCTGTGGCTATGTGGCTAGGTCAAAACACAAAGCAAGTCTCAACAGCAGCTAAATAGTATGCAGTGTTAGTCTGGCACTGACACAGTCTGTGAGGCTCACCAGAAAGCAAGCTGAGTGAAGCGTATGTACAGATTTACTGCCACTAGGACCTTTATTTTCTTCCCCAAGATAAAAAGCTACAGATAGAGTGCAACTGGATTTCACAAACCATGCCCTGTGTGCCAGGTAACAAGGGACACTGAAGCCATTCAGACCTGGTCTTCAGTCATGCCCAAGTCCTTCCTCATTACATGCAACACTAACTCTGCTTCTTGTGGGGGGGAGAGGTTGGGATTTTTTTTTTTTCTTTTAAATTAAGGCCTGTCAAGAGGCTTTCCATCAACAATGAAACGAGGTACTTCCCTGTTCTTGAGAAAGAATAGGTTCTTTTTTCTGTTAAGTTTGAAGTGCTAACAAACTAATGAATTAAAGCTTTCACTAACATTTCTGAAAATACACCAAGCCATTGGTCCGTAGCTGACTCAAGCTGGAAGTGTGTACATAAAACACTAACACTTTTCCTGTGCTATTGATGGTTATGTGTCTACACACAACAGTAGCCGGGACACTGCTCACAACAGCACTCACACTGTCTGAGCCTGGCTCAATGCCCAGCGCCAGCAGAAGCAGGGGGCCTGCTCTTGCAAGGTGCACAACACCACTGCTCTCACCAGGAACTGGGAGTTTGGGGGCACCCATCTTCTGCACAAGATGAGGATCCCTGAAACATGCTTGCTCACTCTTAGAAATGGACTCAATGAAGGCGGCTAGCAGAGCAAGGATCTGATCATTATTAGTTTACTGGTGCCTGAGGCTGTGCTGCATATAAAAGGCTCACCTGGCATGCCAGGCAGCAGGAGGTGAGGACAGCCTGCAATCAGGCATGTCGGGAGCTTTATGAAACAACATAACCAGGAGCATCCACTGTCCCAGTAATTTTTTCTCCAGTTCATGCACCAGCTGAAGTCAAAACTGCTACACTAAACTCAGGTGGTGCATGAGGATTGCTGGTGGACTGGACACCATTACACACACTCATGACTACCACACAGCAGCCATCACTCACCTCTATCTCCTCTTTTACTGTACCCTCGTAATAAAATCCATCTTGTTCCCCTCTCACCAGCACAGGGATGTTGCTGTCTAAGCTCACTGATCTCCCCGATGCGCTCAGCCTCTTCCATGCTGGGCCAGGGGAGGGGAAGCAGCGGCTGATCCACTGGCACCTCAAGAAAAAGAAAATGGGTCAGCATCAGGAGAAACAACTTCTGTAGGTCATTAAAAAAAAAATCTTGTAAGATTTAAGAACCAGATCACTTCACCTCATTTTGTAGCACTCCCACAGGCCAAAACATGTGGGAAGAAAGAAAAAAAGTTGCTTGTGTTGGGACAATTCCTTGCTCTTGGGGAAAACACACATCAGTGCCTGTTTTTTATCCAGATTTCTTTGGTTTTGAGTTTAGAGGAAGTGAGCCAGCAGTACACTGGAATCCTGGGCTACTATCACCTGCGTTACCACCTTCGCTGTTTACATGGTGAGCCAATGCAACCCTTAAGATCAGGAGAAAGGAGCCATCTCCAGCACAGAGCACAGCTTAGGTGCTCGAGAGCACTGTAGCTGACAGTTTACATTGAGGCATTGAGGGACCAACAGAAAAATAAACAATGAAGCTGCTGGTTGCTGACAGGTTCGAGTTCAAAACAGGAAAAATAATCCCCCGTCACAAAGCATTAGAAACATTTCACAGAAGACAGCTGCTAACGCAAGATGCTTTTATTTATCCAAATAATATTAAAGGAATGTTTCTTTGATAGGAGGTTTACTCAGGCTTTGCTTTTCACAATCTCCAGGGTAGCAAATCTCTTTAGTTAATACCATCTAAAAACCTGCCAGTGCAGGGGAGGAGAAAGCTCAAATGATGTTCAAGCCATTAATTTATTAATCTGACACACCAGCATGTTTTATCCTATTAGATATCAGGAACAAGTCACAGACTCAAACAAGAACTTGATTTTACCTCTGGGGGGTGAGGGGCTCGGCGATCCAGGCGGGATGCACTACAAAAGAGCTCCTGCAGCAGGGGTTGGCAGTAGGGACGATGCTGGAGGACAAGATTTTGTCCAGAGCTGGCATGGCGCTGCAATACCTACGAGCCGCAGGCAGGAACCCTTCTGAACAAGCCATTCTTGCCAAAGCAGCCACCTGCAGGACTCAGGTGTGATCTGTTGGTAGAAGAGAGACAATGTACTGGCTTTTTCCAACAAAAGCAAATGCTTTCCAGGGTACCTCAAAACTCAGTAGTTATTTAGGTTTTTTATTTTTAAAAAATGAATTCAAAATATCCAGAGTGGCATTTGGTCAGATGAACCCGTATCACTGACTTCAGTGATTTTTCAGTCACCCAAATCCTGACCTGGCAGAGGGACAGAAACACCCAAGGAAACTAGAAATGCTGGCAAAACACCCAGGAAAGCAATAGCTTTCACCTCCTTCCAACTTTTATTTCCCTCTCTAACATCCAGCTCTTTTCTTATACCTACACTCTCCTTTAAGCTTTCTCATACACAGTCCCAGCCAGATTTTTATTTTACAAGCCGAGGCAGAAACTACAGCTGAAGTTGACAAGCTGAGTAAACGTGACAGTTTTCGAACATGATGTTACAGTTGCCTGTTACTTGTTTTATTTATAGTGATGTATTAAGAGGAAATATTTTGATCTTTCAGCTGTCCTGTCATGTTTTATAACAGTAGGATTATGGCTTGCCATAAGAAAGAATAAGGTGCTCAGATTTGACGAGTGATAACTATTCAGAGGCTGTCACAGTAAAATTGATGATGTGATGGTATCTGTGGTAATCTGACAAGATGTAGTAGACAAGCTTTCATTCCTTTTTTTAAAAAAAAATATTTCTTAGAAGTATTTAGCATGCTTAGAGTAAAATTTATGTTCTTGAATTTCCATGCAAGTTTTAAGCACCTAATTTACAAAATACAGTTGAAGCACTCATATTACATTTAAATGTTATTTTATTTCTTCTCTAAGAGATATGATCTAGGAGTCCTTTTTATGAGGACTCACAGATAAACACAATTTCAGAAAACTAGCACACCAAACCAACAAGAAGAGTGGATTAACTGCTGCAAAATACATCTTAAAGTTGACAAATCAATACGATTTATTCACTTGTTTCACAACTACACAAACTCCCCTATTATCAAACCCAAACAAGATGGAATCTGTAATACTTTGTGAGGAAACGCAATTACCAATTCTACGTTAAAGCACATTTTAAACCCATTCAGTGCCGTTACCACTGAGAGCCAGGTCCCTTCTCTCTGTATAAAACAGGGCACTGACAAAGGCAATTGCACAACACTGATTTATTTTCTGGATAACTCCAAGTACTTCACCACAGCAGCTTTTCAAACTTACCAGCTATTGATAACACTACATCAGGTCGATTTTGATTTAGTCCCAGTGCAGAAATCTTTCCCTTTTGCCTGTTTGATGCAGGAAGCCATTTGCTGCCAGTGTTTCCTAGTTGCTACGGAGATTGCCACAGTTGTTACTACCAGGATCAGACATCCTGACCTTACTGGTTAAAAAAACCCAAAACAAACGGAGGAACATGACTAGAGAGGACAATTTGTCTGCCACACATCCACTCAATTTTCAATTCCCTGTTGATCTACATATTGCAGTAGAAGACTGTAGGGTCAGAGAAGGGATTATAAGAGGGCACAGTGTCCTCTAAGCTTTCTGCCTACTACTGCAGGGCATCATACGAAGCTACAGTTCAGATTTAGAAAAAAGAAAAGCCCACCATCACAGGGTGCGACAAATAAATTGCTTTTAAATGCAGACAGAAAGGTTGAAGCTGAGACAAACTGAGGTCGAATCACTTTACAAACTTTCCCTTTTCACAATAAAGGGTAAGGATTAATGCATTCTACCCTTTTCCTACAAAGTGTGTATCAAAAACATGTCAGAATACAACGCAGAAATCTACCTGTTAATCTCTACTATTATCCCTTATCTTCATTTTCTCCTTAACAAATGTTAACTTTTACTTTTTTTTTTTGAGGGGGTGGGGGGAGGAATAGTTAATTGCATTTTGTAGGCATTTTTCAAATCATTGCTATAAAAACAAGACAGAGTGGATGACTGCAATTAGGAACAAATATACAGCACTTAGGAAGTCTGTAACCATTTTCTGTACATTCTGCTGCACCCACAGACTACCTGCTCTCATGCTGTCAGCAGAAACGTTAATATCAATAATACAATTCACATACAGCAAATGTTAAGAACACTCTCTTCATCTTTGCATAAATGCATTCTATACCACTTAACTGAAACCATCAACAGTCCTGACCTCCCAGTCCATCATTCTGTAAAGACCAACCCAGAGGTCAACCATTATCAGTCAAAGTCCTGAAAAATTTCTGTTGCAGGGTTTTTTCCCCCCACAAGGTCAAGATCTTGACAAATCTCTTTGTAGTGTGTATTGCATGAGCAGTTCCAGTAATTTTTAAGGGCACTGACAGCTGAAGAAGAATTAAATTTTCAATAGAAAGTAGGCTAAATCAACATTTTTAAATGGGATTCAAATATTCATCAATAAGGATGGAACAGCACTTGCAAGACATTATGCTCTTCCTATGTTCAGCAATTGTACTTCCAAGAGCTGCTACCCTTCTCTTTTTATTTTCCCCCTTTTAAACTAAGTTATCATTTCAGTTGGCATCTAACAACATTCCTGGGAACATTTAAAAAGGCCTTTTAAGAGAAACACTGTCAGTTAGACCAAAAATCTTTTAAGAAAGCACATGTGAATAAACCAGTAACATTACAGAAAATAAGAGAAATCAATCTCATCAGTGAAAAGATTTTATTTAAAAGCATGCAGGTTACAATACATACAGTTACTTCACATGCTTTACATTTTTGGTTTGGTGACAATTTTAGAAATGCTTTCCTATTTCCATGAATTAACTAACTTAGGCCATTCAGGTGAGATCTCCCAGTTGTCTTTTTGGTATCTAAGTGTAGTTACTATCTGCAAAATTAAAACTCTTCTCTGTGGGCTGATACTGATGTATAATATGATCTGCTCCTAAGACATGCCAGGAACACACACATCATTAATAATACAGTGGTTACTAGGTTCCCAGAGATGATACCTTCTGCTTGGTTTAGATTGTCTTTAAGAACTGGTTTTGTTTAAGTGCTTTAGGTGCTTGGCTTGGCTCCACGGCATTCTCGTCTGCCATCACAGAATCACTGTACAGAGCAGCCTGCAGGTAACTAATGTATCTTATTGCAGCACGGAGTGTCTCTACTTTGCTGAGCCGTTTCTCCAAGTACTCCTTAGGTAGGTGATGCCTCAGTTTAGCATAGCCTTCATTGACACATTTAACTCTCTGTCTTTCCCTCTCATTCCTCTTTCTGATGAAAGCTGGCCCATAGGAGTACTCACTTCTACAGTAATTATAATAGGGCAATTGGTAGGGAAAGGTGCAGGGCTCACTGTAGAAATTCTCCATTATGAGATGCTCAGACATGAAAGGAAGGAACAAATCTTCAGTGCAAGTGACCTGGTTTGGTGTTTCTGGGGACATGTGAAACGTGACCACTGGGTCAGCACAGAAAGGCCTTGCCAGCTGTATGTGCTGAGTCTCGGTACAGGTGGACAACTTGTCCATCAGGTTACAGTAGCTTTTGTCATCCATGGAGTTCTGCATTTAACCTGGAAACGCATAATTACATAATAGTTTAAACATCTCACACTCAACAGTAGGAAAAAAAACTCACCTGGACTTACCAATACTTGGCATTTCTGGCATTTTCCAGAAGATACTTTTAATGCATTCATGACATTTCAGAATGGTGTTGGATGATTGTTACATAGAGCAGACAATGTCCCATTTGAAAGCACAAGAAAGTACATGTCAGCAACACTGATTAAAATAATTCACCACAGATTTTAAGAAAATAAAGCCACTAAAGCTTCCTAATTAAAATGGCAAACAGTATCCTTTCACCTCAGCTTTAGATGTGAAGAGAAACTACCTTTACATACTCCATATAGGCCTAGCTTGCTCAAAATCTGCCAAAACTTACATCTCTACAGACAATAAACAAAGCAGGCCAACATCTGAGGCATTCTCTCCACCCACATCTCCTCCCTGAAAAAAAATTAAATCTACAATTCCAGTAACAGACTCCCTATCCATACTGAAAAACCTTTAAAGACAATTTTTTTTTTCTCTCTATTCATTTGATGCTTCATTCACTATACTATCTTAATTAGATGGAAAGTTCAGGGAGGAGTGGATCTCAATCTTAATTTTATGTCTGTCAGGTATTACAACCATTCTACATAGAAAGGTTTACAAAAAGTATAGAAGATTAATTTCTGCTAAACCTAACATCTCTTTGGGTCCTCCATATTCCTTCTCCACTGACCTGCAGATTAAACAGAGATGAAATATTAATCCTACTGATAGAGAATGATAAAATGATCAATTTATTAAAGGAAAAAAATGCATGTACCAATAATATTGTTCCAATTATAAACTATTTTACTATGAAGGGGCTGCACACGGTCATTGGGGCACTGCTAGAAGCCTGTAACTCAGACTGCCCTATGAAAACCACATACCCTCTCTTCAGAGCAGTATTACAGCAGGTGTAACTACTCAAGGCACCCTTATGTATTTATAAGAAAGATAATCTTGCATAGGAAGCTACATTATAGTGTCTTCCCAGTATCATTACTCAAACAGCTAAATATCAGCCTAACTGTAATGATTGTTACCTAATAGCTACTTAAATAACTAGTTAATTTTTAAAGAATTACTGTGATCCAGCCTCATCAACTGCAAGCAATACTTGCCTACACAGAATCAATCAAAAAATGCTCTTATACTCACCATATACTTCCACATCTATATTTTGCTGTCTAAAATACTTCAGTTACATGATACCATCTACAACAGAAAACACACCTGAACATTGAACTATGTTACTAAAAACATCTAGATTCCATACTCACAAAAACCTCGCAGAGTTTAAAATGTTCTGACCACGGTTCCATAACATAAATAGGATGCCCTTAATCCTTCACAAGGATATGGGCATATTTTAACATTTTCTAATTACTTCATACCTGCTATGTTTAATACAGAGAGAATTTTTACTCAGTATACACCTATCCTCTGAATATATTCTATCAAAATGCCTCTATTCAGTGTTGTCTGTTTTTCTTATGCACATAGATCTCACAACAGAAATCCTGAGTTAAGAGTTCATTTATACATTATTTATAGTGTTAGACAAGAAAGACACACATCTTAAACTGGTACTTCTGTAGGTAGGCTGAAAGCATGAACACACATCCATTTTACATTAATATGCATATGGAAAATCAGAAGTGAATATATACACTCATTATAAAATGAAAAGAGTAATCTTTCCCTTTTCTACTTACACAGGTTGGGTTATTGTACAAAAAGTTTCTACTGCTAACAACTTTAAAATATTGTCTGAGAAAGAATCAGTTACATAGCAACCCCGCCCCCCATTTTATAGCAAAATATCACTATAGAACAAGAAACCAAAACTGACACAAATCCTCAAGAAGAGATACCTGCAGTACTGACGCTTCTGCTGCACAACTGCATTACATAAAACAATTATCTGCTGCCTTACTACCTGCACAAAGTGCAAAATGCAAGTGTCAGGCTTGTTTGCCTTTTGAACTAGAGACTCACCAATCTTCAGATGAAAGTAAAAATCCAAGGAAACAAGACGTGCTATTTTAAGACTGATGAATACCTGAAAATATCTGAATGATATTAAAAATAATAAGTTAATGTCCCATTTTTATTACACCTTATTTAATAAGAGATCATATTAAACACAATTTATTCAAAAGCTACGGAAGCACAGTTACTGAATAGCTGGTAGAAGTGATTTACAAAAACATTGATATTCAATGAAGATCTGTTGCTAGATGCAGCAACTGTCTTACCTGAATTATGTAGCTTGTTCCACTGAGTCGATGACTACTGCAATTTATAGTCAATTGACAACATGCAAAGTAGCTTAGTTAGATCTGCTCATTTCTGGTTTGGCTTTTCCACCCACACCACAGCTATGATGGCAACAAAACTTAGCATTAAGGGCTAGAAATTTTAAAACTGTATTGAACACAGACTATCTCAAAAAGCAATCAGGCATGTGCTTTGTTTCCTTCCTGTATTTATTCTGTTACAGTCTACTGAAGCAGTATTTTCATTTATTGGCATTTTATATTTTAATGCTAAATATAAGTCAGCTAGAATTCAGTTAAATACCAGCAGGGTATAGCCAGACTAATTTTAAACACAGAAAATCAGCATTTATTTAGAAGAATCTTGTGATGGTTTTGTCTCCAGGTTAGAGGTGAGGACACACATTAGATAGCTTAATACCCTCAAATTTAACCTTCATTATTCCTGCAATTTTAGGAAATTCCCTTACTGTTAAGAAGCATAACATCATATAAAGGGTCTCTAATAAAGCCTTTATAGAGGTAGGCAGGATTTGAATGCAGTGAGCAATTGGTAGCAAGACAGACATCATAAAGCTTTACTTAAGCTTTGAAACACAGTATGATCAGTCTGTATAATCAAATATATATAGGCCTATGGATGCTACATGTATGAGTACATAGCTGTCCAATTGTACAGGTGCAAGAAAGCAGGACACCTAACTTCAAAACTCTGACAGTTTACAGGATTACCTTGACATTTTAGACTATCTCAATTTTTGGCCCTTCTATTGACCAAGGTAAAAATCACACAAAAAAATCCAAAACCAAACCATTATCTTAACTTTCAGAAGACACTGTAAGATTAGAAATACTTGAACTACCACCAGGAAAGCTACATACAGCCAGTCTTGTCGTCTTCAGACTGTCAGTCAAAGAAAACATTCTGCTTCTGCTGTCCTTGTGTGGGACCACAACAAGGCTGTACTCTGCATCCTCCTTTCCACACCAGCTTCAGGCCTCATCAGAAAGGCAGCCAAGAAGTAGAACATCTAGTAGAACTGGTAGGCAGGCATATATTCAACAAACAAGTTACGTGATTTTTCTTTAGGGGACCCTAGGTACATCACTGTCATTTGTAACCAGTTACTGACTCATCAGGGCGGGATGTTGAGCACACTGAACATAGTAACTGAACCCAAGTCTGGATATTTATTTTTTTGGTCCTGTCAATCCACCTTGTGGCTTTTTAGGGGGTTCTGGAGGGGGCTTTTTGTTGCTTTTTTTTTTTTTTTTATTTAAACAAAGAACCCCATGCCTCCTCAATTAACCACACACCATAATTCCCTCCAGATCAACTTTTTTGGAAGACTACAGGACTGAGGAGAACAAAGCTCTGCAAAAAAGTTGCAGTCAGTGCAAATGTGAGGCAACTATGTTTCCAGCCCTGATGTGGCAGAGCCATGTGTAGGTGTAGAGTTTATTTTCCATGCTAGCCGGTCCCCCAGGCAGAACTGCACCCGGCAACATACATGTCCCATGTACCATTTCCTTCCACACTGGAACTGAAAACTATCAGACAATAATCTAACTACATATGCATAGCTAAATTTGAATCAAGGACTAAAAACTTTCTTCAATTAGCAATTTGGTGAGCCTCTCTCCTTTATCTAAGTACATATTTCTACTCTAATGCATTTTCAGAGAAGTGCTTTAAAGATGGAATTCACACACAGGGTAATAAGGGAGAAAAATAATGACATACAGATAATGCAAATCCATTTTTCAAAAATCAGTTTTATCTTTAATTAATACATTCCAAAGGGGATATATGAAAGTTAGTCATCTAGCAACTGTATACCTCTTAAGAGAGATGAGTACAGAATCACGGATAAAAAAATACACCTAACTCCCAAGATGACAGGTGCTAGAGAAAGTATGTGCCTTACACCATCAATCCAGACAAATGCAGAAAGATTTTTATAATAAATATTTCATCATATACTAACTCCTGAGACTTTACCCATGAAAAGAAAGGGAAAAGATTTTTTGACTTTAAGAGATATCATACACATACAATATATTAAGCTATTAAAGCAAAATAGAACAAAATGCCAACACTGTCTTGATATGCACTGCATTTGAGTTTATCTACATCACAGTACTTTAAGTATGCAGCTCAGAGTCAGTGTCCATTTAAGTTTTGCCTTAAATCTGCAAACATCACTTGACATACAAGCATCTTGAAAGTACGAGTGCAAGAAACCAAATGATGAATACAGCCAATCAGGATTTCATTCTCTGGTATGAAAACTACACAGCAAGATTTAGATTTCCAGTACCTAGCATTAGTCAGCAGAAAATCCAAGTATATTTACAAAACGTCTTTACATAAAGTGATTAGTGAGCTATAAGTAATTACTGTGTTCCAAGGTACTTTTTAACCACATAAATAGTAGAGAGAAATATATAGTTAAAAACCACCATAAAGTCACAACTGTAAATAAGGTACCACAGTGGCAACCCAAGGTATCTTAGGGTTTGTTTTCTTTTCAGTTTTGTTAATAAAAGCCATTTGAAAATGTAAAGATTTTAGCTTTTGGTTAACTAATAATCTTAAGGTTTTGTTTCTACTCCAGTACATTCTTTCAAAGTTCAAATACTTTTTTCTTTAGGGTTTGTTTTTTTTTTTTTAATCAATAATGAATTATTCAAGAAAACCCTTCTGAATTGGCAGGATCAGGAAGACATAAATCAGCTCTTTCAATTAGTCCACTTCACTTCCCTGTAGTTATTTTACTGAGACACAATTAACTCAGCACAACATGACGGTCAAAGACAGATTTGCGTTGCTCTTGGACCTGTAACTTCCAACGCTGCTGGGCATACTCCACTTTGTTCAATACATTGGCGCGGCTCCGAGAACGAGCCAGCACATCATGTGCATTTGCAAAAGGCTGGTGATCCTGGAATGCCAAAAATAATTAGTTAGATCTCAATAATTCCACTGAGCAATTACATCAGTCTTTTTGGCTGTTACATTCCAAAGGATGTGGGTTTTTTTCTGGCTTGTGGAGTTAGTTGTTAGGGGTGGGGATTTTTGGTTTTGTTTGTTTTAAGGTAAACAAGCTGTTTCAACGAGCTGGTCAGTAATAATGACCAAGTTTCCAAATAGTTAAAACTGTAATTCAATTTCTCATTCCAAGTAACCTCCACAGGTTTCCCATAGACCAAGCTTCACTGTACAGTCAAACAATTATCTGCTGCCCAGTGACATCATGCCAAGCTGCAAGACAGAGAACCACAGTCTTGCAGCCATTAGTAGCTGGTGGGACATAAGCCTAGAACAGACCCAGGTGCTGGGAGCCTCCTGTTGTTGTTGTGAATGCACTTCAATTTAAAACTGAATTAAAGAGTCAGTTCTGTGACAGCTCATGGCCATTTACCATCAGGCAGTTCAGTATCTTCACACACAGCTGCTATATAAAACCAACACACTCTGATGTTTACCAAACTAAACCTATTGTACTGAGCTGTCTAAAAGCAAAGTGTCAATACAGCTGTCTAAGTGACAGAGCTCAACAATAGCTGAGCACTTGTTTAATATTTACTGTCTGTTTCCTAACAGTACCTGCAAAGCTTTATTTTTTTAAATGGTAAATAAAATCAAATTATAAACAGTAAGAGTTGGAACTGAACTTTTTATTTGGCTATTAAACTTTTTGGACAAAGTCATGTTACTAAAGCTATGTCTGAAAGCATCATATATACAATGCACAATGAAAAATAATGTAACTGTTTTGTATTAAGTAACTGTCTTTTCTCTATGTCTACACTTCATATTCCTCTTTTTACCCCCTCCCCAACACCTTAAGACATTTACATTAATGGATACTTTGTGGCATGATTGTGTAGAGTAGCTCAATGGTAATTCTTAGTAGCACAGAGATTATCATTAATAATACCCACTGAAGTGATGCCTACAGGTCACAAAGCAATACATGAGCCTCACTGGGCTAAGAAATATGCTAACAGAGGATAAAAGACAATCCCTGACCTAAAGACCCATAATCTCACCATAAAAAGTTACGCAGTTAGATATACCTAGAATACCTAGAAATTTAACGGGTGACAAATCACTTCATTCACAGGGAAACTAAATCATAACAGCAACACAGTTCTACCATAAAATATATGGAGAGTACTGGACAAGCTAGATGGTACTGGCTTTCCTGATAAACAACAATCTCAGCTCAAATGCTAGCTACCATCAATTTCTATGTAGACAAGAAGGGGAAAAAAGGAATTTAAGAGGAAAGAGGTCTATGGAAGTGGCTTACATTCATCAGTTGTCACTGCCATCAATGGGCAATAAGAACAAACACACTGGCTTGAAATTCAGCAACAACAAAAAAATCAATGCACATGGTATTTCTAATGTGTGACAAGGAACAATACCTCAAGAACTTACAAGAAGGCAGGCAAAGATAAGGACAAGCCATGAGGAACTTTAAATTATTTCACATTCACTGTGACAGAAGGATAAATGGGAAAGTAGCAACATGAACTAAACAAGAACCTGAAGTGCTTTTTGTTCCAAGCACTGCTGCAGATATAAGCACTAGTGACTCCACAAGCACAGGTAAGGGTCACAATAAGAGTTACAGAAATGCATGAAATTGGTTAAGATGGATCCAGAATTTAAGGTAAATTAATTCTGCGGTTAACCTGAGCTCTGCCATGGGACTCATTCACTTCTTCCACCTATAATCAGAAAATTCTAACCTGGATTTCAAGGTATTAATATAAAGTATAAAATAAATATAATTTTTCTGAGGTATAGCATACAGGACAAGTTTGCCTAATTCATGAAAGAAACTATCCAATTTGGTATAAGAATGTAAACAGAAAAACTGTCATTCAAATGCCTCCCTTTTCTGAAAACAAGCCAAAACAAAACCCAATATCCTCCTAGAAGTGACTGGGAAAATATTAAGGTGTCAATATGAAGACAGTTGGAATATGTCTCCATGTAATACACAAGGAAGTGCAGAAACAGTGGGATGCAGTAGTACAGCTCTGTCTGAAGAACCTTCATTCCAGACAACATTAGATTAAACTTGGGTAACAATCATGTATTTTCTTGTTGTGAAGTCAAAGTAAATAAAGAAGGCACAGCTGATAAGGGCTATAATCTAGGAAAATGCTTGATTCTGACTATGTAATATCCCGCCCTGAAGGACAGAAATGCCTTTAAGTCAAGATGGCCAGTGTAGCCACTGTTGATAAAAAGTAGAAGAACCAAAGAATATGCTTTTCCTTAGTTTACTAACAACGATAGTTCTCACACCAAAACCACCTGGAGAATCTGAGTGCAACTCACATTAAAAATCTGCAGATACAGAGCATAGCATTCACCACTTTTGATACCTTCAGATCCATGCAGACACTGATGCAACAGGCAGTCAGAACTACTGGGCTTTTAAACAGCTTTTTAGAAGTGTTGCCATCGGAATTTTGTTTCACCAAGAACAAACTTATTTATCGCCTCCTATTAGCTTCCTATTTATTTGAAGGAATGGTGAAAATATTCTTAACTATCCTATTTGAAGATATTAATAAATGTTGTAAATATTTTTGACCAATTCCCATTTACTTCAACAGTAATAAAGTGCTCATGTCTACTGAAAGGCTTAGGTTAAGCAGACAGCAATCCTGCCATTTCATACCCTGGATTTGGTTTCAGAAATTCTGTCTAAGGTTATGCCACACCTGAAGCATACTTTATCAGTAAAAGCGGTGCTGCATGAGGGCTCAGTATAGAAAGTACATTGATGCTGAGACTTCAGAATTGTTTTAGCAGTTTGTGCAGTTCAACACTGACTTTACCACCAATCCAGCTGCTACTTTAGAAAACTTTCTTCACATTATTCTATGGTGATACTTCTCCCAGGCATGCAGATTCATCAGGTTCATATGCACACAGATTCATCAGATGCAGAGCCATAGTCTGTATTTTTATACTAGTTTAAGTCCCCCGTCAATACACAGATGACCTGCTCCCACCAACCAGTGCTGCTTCTCCACACTGATCAGGTGCTAGTCTCACTTTCCAACACAAGGTTTTGTAAGGTCTTACACTCCCTTCCTCTAACAGTACTGAAGACAATTTTGTTCCACATTTATTACAACTCAAAACCACCGTGCTGGAGATTGTGAAGGCCAGTAACAACAAGAAACTGAGTCACTAATGGACTACTCCCCTCTTCCTCCCAAAAACAGGCTGTTCTTACCTGCTGGAATACACTATCACATTCTGGTTTCTAGCTGTGATACCAACAAATTATTTCAGCATCAATCACTGTTTTACTTCATTATAATAATTTCTTGAATTTTTAGCATCAACAAATTCAAATTGAAACAACAGGAGATGCAACCCCTCTACTTTCTTCTTTTTGTAGAGAGAAAGCTAAGCAGTAAGCAACCTGCATAAAGGTGATCACTAGCAAGACTGTATGGATCATAAACACTGAAGTTGTATCTCCTCTATATGCTCACCTCCATTGCTACTGTTTCTACTCTGAGAAAAATAATGAGTCTAGAGCTGGGATAACTGAAGTAATCTTCATCTTACTACTTTCTAGCCCAGTGAAAAATGAAAGAGTGGT